CTTGCCAAAAATGACTTGCAGAAGCAGGAGAAAAAGCAAGTCTACTTAATATTCCATATACAGAGCCTCTTGGCAGACAATAAGAGATCGGTGGTCTGTCATGCGGCATGTGGAAGCCGCCTAACTGCGCAAGAATGAGCAAGTTTCCCGAACCCCTCACCACCTCACCAGTCAGTCTCCCCACGCCTAAAAGTCAAGTCGCCCCAGCACCGAAGTCGCCGTCCTCGGGATGTAAAAGACGAACCACCTCCCCGCCCCCAATATCGAGCAAGTTTGAGGCATTCAGTTCCCTTGTCATTGTCGTCGTCACCAGCGAAACGAGCTTCCTTTATCGAATAAGAGAGCCTGGGCCGTCGCTGCGATGCCGCTCCTAGACATCATGGCGTTCGTATCTGCGTCTGCGTATTCGGTTCTGCTCTCCGAAGAGCCGATACCTTCTTATTCACAATACCTTGGTCATTAAGAATTTGTTAATCATGAGCCAGAGACTGAGAGGATCGATCCATCGTCCAGACCTGAGTGTGGTCTTGTTGTGTATCGAAGCTGTCGTCGTCTTCGCCGCTCTCGTGCTATTCGGCGTGGCGTACCCAGATCGCTTCCGCTCGCGACTCTGGAGGAACGGTGGCGAGCAAGGATGGTGTTCGAATCCCAGAATGCGGATATACTTCTATGCCAACCATGAAGAGCCACCCGAGATACCCTTGATATGGAGCCAGAGGTGAGGTTCCGCATGCTTCCATCACTCTGCTGAAGCTTCAACGCTAACCCATCGCTTCATCCAGGTTGACGACTTCCGACATGGCCACCGCGGTCCTCGGAGCGACGATTTTCTTCGCCCGCCTAACGATGGCGGTCCTGCAATACGAAGCCCGATGGACGAACCTCGCATACGACGCCTTCCTCGGCGTCCTATGGGCCTGCAGTGCCGCCGCGCAGAACGAACCCGATCTAAGCGATCCTCATCACTTCAGCGAGAGGCCGTGGTATCTCACCCGAAGCTGTGACGAAGCGTGGCCAGAGAATCGGGGCTGGTGTATGATTGCGAAGTGGGAATATGCCTGGTCTATTTTTGCTGCGTTCTTTTACGTCGCGAGGGTCGTTGGAACGTTGAGCTGGTCGTTATACGAGAAAGGAAGAAGAGATGGATTTAGCACTGGGTGCAAGGCGCTATCCCTATCAGAGTGCGATCCGTGGACTGAGGAGTGCGAGATCGCGTTGTACATGGATGATGCGTAGCAGTATGACTAGGTGTGATATGGATCTGGCGTCGTACATATTAACGACAGGTCAGCACAGACGGGATCGAGTGACACAACTTTACGACAAGGGATTGCACCGCACGAGGAAGGCAAGGACTATCGATATCAACTTTGCATTGCGCATCTCTGCCTAACGACTATCGACAATAGGGCTGAAGTGAGGGGGTGAGGGAGAAAGTTCCATTGCATCTGTTTGCATGCAACCATTCGAAGACCATGTGGTCAATCCGTCCAAACAACCCGTAGATCCACCCGTGAAGCATGGCGATCAGTTAAAGCTTCGAACATGCTTATTTGTTCTGTGGCAAGAGTGTCAGTAACATCATCTTGGTGGCTGATGGTGCGATCAGTGTCTAGGAGGGGAACTTACGGGGCAACCGGCACAGGTGCAGTCCTTGCCGCAGTGGCAGGAGCCGGTGGAAGCGCATCCGCAGCCAGACATGTCGATAGTTGGTGGAGTCGTTTGAAGTGACTTGAAGGTGGTTCTGTTTGCCTTGATTGTGGACCGAAGTCGTTGATTGTTTGATTGTGCAGTGAAGTGGTGATGGAGGTGGGAGAAGTCAAAGGCTGTGGGTGGCAAGTGATTTGGTGGTTTAAGTAATGGCGATGATTATCTAATGGCGACCTGGAGCATCATTGATGGAAAGGAAACAACCGGGCGAGATGGGAGGCAAGAGCGAGAGCACCTCCCGTCTGGCTCCTTCCTCACGGCTGGGGCCAGTCAAACAGACCACATGTTCTTCCCCCGAGCATGGAAGTCGCTAGTCAGCAGCCCCAAGTTCCAGCCAGCGATGCTAGCTTTGACGCCGGTGGTAGAGGGAAGCTCCTCCGTCACCCCGCCTCCTGCCTTTCTGTATCTCTTACCTGGTGCCTGCCCAACAACGATTGGGAAAGAACGAAGAATCCGTCGGCTGAGTGGTTCGGAGGAAAGTGGCGAATGACGTGCAGCCGGTAAAGGAACTGAAGCAGGAGCTAAGATCGGTCTTGTCACAAGGCAAGACCAAACCTGCCACTCAATCAATGGCAGTTCTCAGTGCCTCCTTCCCGGATCGAGACTACGCAAAGAAACCCCACTTTCCCACCGAGACAAGTGACGAACGGGCCCGGGCCCTCAGACCGGCGTGGGCCCGTCTGCTGGCTGCCAGTTTGGGGACAAACCCGCCATATGGCCAATCATACGGCTTTTATGCTGGCTTAATTCACGAAGATACCGGAGTACATTCTGCGGGGGAGGGGAATAACCGCTTGACGGCCATCTTTGAGACTATGATTCTCCTCGATCGCGGGCCGAAGATCAGGGTCTTCCCTTGGAATCGATAACCTTATGATTTACGAATTAACCGTTGATTGGCAAGATCACCTTGCTCATTCAATTTTGCGTTTCACCAGTGGGCGAGAAATGTCTAACTGAAGACATCAGACTACAGAATCTGCGAGAAAAAGACCTGGTCCCTCGGGAAGATGATGTCGCCGCGGCCACACTTCTGAACATTGGCTAGCTACTAGCCGTTGCATGTTGGCAAGCTATCTATAGCCGCTCATGTGTTCTAGCTGTTCTACTTGGACCGATGTGCAGCGAGTCGAGAGAGTGGGCATCGCAAGGGACCGTTCACGGCGCCGTGCATCATGCATGTGCGTCATCAGACGTGTTGGCGCACGAGTCCGGCGCGTGCCTTTTTCTCAACTTCTCCAACCGCTGACATGCAGCAACGTTACCGCTGGCTCGTCGCCGACGGAATCCGCTTTGACATTTCTTCCACTGGTTCCACGTATGACTCGATAACGCATCCCGGTGGGTATACAACCGGGACTAGCAGGTCTCAGCTCATCAGAACCCGACGTCTTGGTGCTGGTTCGGTGCCGGGTCCGAGATCGTCGTACCCCAGCTGGGCGTTTCATTTCCTGTACCCAATCCAGGAGATGGCTGGCAAGTGCCGAGGTTTCCCGCCGGCTTTCAGGTCTGGCATGCCCATTGTCACGAGGATCCATGACCAGGCATCGGAATCGGTAAACAGCCGCATCGCGAACATCCCTGTGCCGCCTCCGCTAGTCTATCTGAGGCACACGACCATGGCATGCAAAATGAGAGTTTGCAGCTTGCGTGCCGTTGAATTCCCTGGGACTCAGTTGCTCCCGGTAGGAATCTCACACACAATTAGGCAGTTGGGAGATGAAAATCTACCTTATGGATAAAGTAGTTCCCGGGCGGATGAGTCTTGCTAGGGAAAATGCAACTCTCTTGACTATGATGACGACCAAACGGAATGAAGAGGAGCTATTGAAGAAGTATGCGTCCCTAGGCCTCAATGAGAAATCATCAACTGGAGACATCGGGAAATATCTCTCCGGTCCATAACATTTTTCAATGTTGTTAAACACTATATATGATTCCTACGCCAATTCCTTGAAGAAGAAGTGCCCTGCCATGTTTGTTATGACTTCGATGAACCCACTGGCCCAAACCTATCATTCTCGCTGTACTTGACACTAAAGTCCCTCGTGCAGACAATCCCTCTTCCATGCTCTTTCTGTAGTATAATCTCCTCGCTGTTCGTATCGGAAGGCAAAGCACCAGCATACATAGCTTCAGCGGAACATCGGCCTTCCATAGCGATCGGCGAGCGCACCACGTCAGCTCTGGCACCTATGCCAGAAACATATCTTTCAGTTACACTGAACTCGTCCTTGGTATGCATCTCGAACTCGTCATGTAAACTGCGATCCAGCGGGATCCTGCTGGTCCTCCTGTTACCGCTCGCGTAGGGGGTGTTGCGAGAGGCACCGCCGCCAAGGGGCGTCTGACCACTTCGGCCGTAGCGTTCGTTGCTAGGGTAGTAGTCGACTGAGCTGTTGATCTTCAAGAGGCGACCGAATAGAGGTTTGAGGTACGAGGCGCAAGCTGCGATGATACCGATGTTGAGTTGAAGACTAGTTCGCATTGAGACTAATTAGGATGCGCACTTTCACTAACGTCTACACATTGCATTGTGAAAGTAGTTTACTGCATGAAAGTAGACTCACTTTTGCCAGAAATGAACCCAATAGTCGAATATGGCATCTGGACTGCCACCTGTGGTCAACATGAATACAGCCTTGAGAATGCCCATGATGACTGCACTGGATTGAGAATCATGTCAGCGCATTCGCGAATCGAGAAGGATATCAGGACATGATTAAGACTTACAAATAACCAAGATTAAGGATGCCTATCACATAAAGTCTGACGCGGAATCTCATCTTCAAATGCCAGATGATGGGAATCGGTAACGCTCCCAAGCAAATGTCGGTAAATATGTTACAGGCTGACCAAAAGGATTGTCAGAAATCGTGACGGCCCGGCACGCAGGCTGACTTACAGATATTCCAGTACGTCAGTTTAATAAACAGATTGAAGTCGTGACACCTTGGATCGAAGGGGTTCATCCACTGAAACTCCCACCAGCCCGAATATGGCGTGCAGTAAACAAACAACCAAGCAATTGCTTGAATCGAGTATGCAATAACAAAACCTACATACTTTAGCCATCGACTTCTTGGATCTGAGGCGACAACTTCGTATTCATACATACCAATTACGGCGTAAAGCGACCATCGGTACCATTGAAGGTCCCTCTTTAGTCGAAGTAGACTTATTGCCATCGATATCCTCAACAGTCCCATCGCGACGCCATCTGATAAAACCGTCTTCCAGAAAGATATCTGCTCGAATTCGATTCTGTCGTTTGTCGGGATTGTCGAACCATGACGACCGAGACCATAAGGTATTTGAAGGACCAGGCAGACCCAAGAGACAAGGGCGAGTATCTAAATCGTGCTGAAGTCAATAACCTCTTTTCGACCTTCAACAACGGACAAACTGATATAAGAGTACGGACTTACGGCGGCAGCCACTATGAGGGCATCTTCGGCTCCAAAGGCCCTGAGGATTACCACGCGAGCATAAACACGCAGCGAGACGAATGCCAGAGCAATGAAGTGGAAAGCGCCAACGACGCCGACGATCCGCCCTGCATTGCTAGCATTGACGTATTCTGGAGGAAGGCCATCCATCGTTACTTCATGATTGTGAATCTGGAGAGGGTAGAAAGAGAGCAGCAGCGACGATGAGGGCAACGTAGACTTATGGATAAAGCCACCTTCTTTTTCCGCGGTTCATTATCACTGAGAATCCTACGGAGAGTATCAGCACTTTGATGCTTATTCTAACGGCTACAAGTGTTAGGGAACCCACGCACTCTTGGCCTCGGCTTGGCCCCACGACTTTCCGGTCCTGGCTTCATGCACACTTCTTCGACGCTTCTGGTTTTAGGCTCAAGGGGGCAAGAAGAAATTTGCACCTTGCAGCGTGTCACAACTTGTCACAACTCGAGCTTCACTAGGCGTTAGCCGTTATTTGATAATTTCTCAGCTTGTGGTAACATTGAAGACGTACCGCGCATGCCACAGTAGCCCAAAATGACAGACGTCGTATTTCTTGCGAGACTATTGCTCGATGCGTAGATGCCTCCCTCCGAGGGATCCACTACCCTGTTGGTGACTCCTTTTCAACGTGCAATCTTGAAGAATCTGCATTGGTGTGGCACAGGGGAGAAGAGGGGTTGAACATACCGGGATTTCCGGGCAGCGCGTTACCACATGGGCTACATATGCCAAGAACAAGGATTAAACGGTGGGAGTATAGGGCATCGAGTGACAGATACAGACTGTCAACTCCTCGAACACAAGAATCGTAACACGAGAACTCTTGTGGCACAGCACAGCTATTTAGTTCTTCAAGTGGAACAGACGATCCGGCCCAGCCCGATCTTACCTCGGACCGCACGCACGGCCTAAACGGACCCATATGACAGGGAGATGTGGGATATCAGGTCGTTTCTCAACGAGAATCACGCTTCCCGCAGCAGCAATGAACGAACCACAGTCCAATATTCAGCTTTCAAGCCAACCTCCCTGTTGCTGTTTCCGGACAAAGTCGTGGCGATTTGGAAGCGTGCCGGCGACGCCACAACCGGCCTTCGTTCTTCATCTGTCAACATTGACAAGGCTTTCGCAAAGGGCGAGGATATTCTGCCAGCAGCTCCTGCTATTCTGCCACCAAGTGTGGCTGCGGCAGGCCCTACCTCCGACCACGGAGCCCAGCTGCCCATACCCACCCACTTACCTACCTACCCACCCACTTACCTACCTACCCACTTACCTACCTACCTACCCACCTACCTACCCACTTACAACCACTACTTCGTTAACCTCGCCGTCGCTACTACCGTTAATTAAAGCTATTCCTAACGTTAATATACCATAAAAAAAGAATAATTATAAAATTAATAATCCCTTTATTTATTAATATACCGTTAATTATAACGATTATAATTATATAAAGTATAACTACTTATTTTATAACTAGCGCTTTTTTAGCTTATTTAAAGTTAAAATAGTATTTAACGAGGCTACTTACGAGACTAGCTTTATAATCCGAATTATTTAATATAAGCCCTCTACTAAGGTACTAACTACTATTACTTATTATTATACTCGTAACCCGTATTATAATTAAAAATAATAACGCTTCGTAAAATTAACCTACCTAAATAAGTATTATAAATCCTTAACCTCGTTTATAAACTACTATTAATAAATTATTACTAGCTTTTTAAATAGTAATTAGTTCTTTTATCCTATTATTAATAACTTTTATAATTATTATAACTACTTATTTAGTAATACTAACGTTTTTATACGTTATTACTATACGCTACTACGTAATAAAAAAAACTAAATCGTTAATTAATAAAATAAGGGCATTCGACTTATTTAAATTCTTTTAAGCTTATAGTTAAAAAGTAGCGATTATAATAATATCGTTACTTATAATATATTTAATATATTAGCTACTTACTACTATAATAAATTAAGTAATAGGACCCTTATTAAGTAGTTATTTAATTAATTACGTAATTTAATAAAGTACTAGTACCGCTTTTAACGTAATAACGCGGGCTATATTACGAGCTTATTTATCGTATTTATTATTACGATTTCTTTATTTTAATAATATCCGGATATTCTATTAATAAATTCTATATATAAAACTAACCGATTTAATATACTATTATTTAAGATTTATAAAATAATTAATAATAATTATACTTTTTAAGTCGCGAGCTACTTTTTATTTAGTAAGAAAAAAGCTAATTATAGTTAGGTTATTAACTAGCTATTAGTATTACTCTAAGCTTATAAAATTCCCTTTTTATAAGTTACGTATATAAATCGTAACATTATTTTACTTAATACCCTTAATAATAATACTTAATTTAAAGTAGTATTATATATATTTTATTATTAGTACGTTAACTTTAATATACTAGCTCGGACTTAGTATTACTTCGGCTTAATTATAAAAGACGAGACTAGTATAGTTATATATAACCCGTATTTTTAATAATTCTTTACGGATTAAAATAATCTCCTCCATAACTAATTAATAATTATATACTATAATTAATTATTTAAATTTTAAATTATTAAATACTTTATAGTAGTAGTCGATTATGTTATTAATACTTAGCTTAAGCCGTAATACGAAAAACTCGTACTTATTTAAGTTAATTAAATTAAGTATTTTAATTACTTAACTACGTTAATTATTAAATCCTTATATACGAGTATTAAAGTACGAGTTTATTACTATATAAGTAATTTTAAAGCCGTATTTAATAAATTAGTTATTTTTTAAATAAGTTAAATAACTATAATTAGTACTTATCGGACCCGTTACTAAGCTAAAATATTAAATACTATTACGGGATTATTTTAAAAAAAAGTACGTCTATATATATATTATAATACTTTTAAATAATTCTTATAAAAACTTAATACGCTAAGTAAATAGCTAAATTTAGGTTTATTAAAAAAGCTATTAAAAAAGTATATATACTACTTAATTCGAACTACTTATAGGCTACTTTATTATTACGTCCTTTAGTATTATATTAAGGATAGTACTTTAATATTATTAAAAAAAATTTATTTATATTAGTTTTAATAACGCTTAGAGCCTATTATTAATAATAATACTTTTATCCCCCTATTTAATCCCTTATAAATCCGAGGTAAGGGTTATTTATAAGGCTTTATAATAAGTATTATAATAATTATAATAAATAAGTTAAAAAAGCTAGCCGTTAATTAAAATACTTTTTCTAAACGAGAGCCCTCTATATTTAAGTACGAAGAAGTTATTAAATACGTAAAAATAATACTTATATTAGTATTATTACTGTTAATAGTACTTTTAGTACTAAATAGGGCTATTTTTACTTAATAAGGCCTCGAGATTATATACGATTTTAATACGTACGAGCTTAGTATAAAAATATAATAGAAGTATTAGCGGGCTATTATTAATAAAGTAATTAATATAGTTAATAATAATACGATTAATTTTATAAGGGCTCCTTAGTTACTAATATTTATAAAGTTATAATTCTAATTAATTAGTAATCTTATATAATTAAACGTATTATAAAATCTAGTTAACGAGGATTATACTTATAATATTAATCTTATAATAAAAAGCGAGATAAATAGACTTATTAATAAGTACGAGGCTAAAATAGAGTACGAGGCTAAAGTAAAGGAAGTTACTAAATTACGGGCTATAGGCTATACGGAGTAATTAATAGTTAATTAAGTAGTTAATTAAATAATTAATTAGGTAATTAATTAGGCTACTTCGTTAATTACATCGAATTAAGCTAATTCGTTAATTACTATACTTTTTATTAAAATAATTTAATTAATTATAAGTTAATTAACGGCCTCTAATTAGTTTAATTTATTTAAATACTGACTACGTAGAGCCTAGCTTATGTATGTGCCCGAGACCGGCGGTCGTATAGCGGCCGTAGCCACACTTGGTGGCAGAATAGCAGGAGCTGCTGGCAGAATATCCTCGCCCTTCGCAAAACCGCGCAAAATTCGAATGCATGGGCTTGCTCGGATGATCGAGGCCATCGGCCCGGGTGGGACTTATGGATACTGCTGGCGCCGCGCCCCTGCATTTCAACCCCGGCCACTATCCACCCAGCCTGTTGGTTGATGGTCCAACTTATTCGGACGGCCGGGCTCGGAGCCCCGGTCTCTAAAGCGGAGCATTGTGTCCTAAAATCCTGGTTCGAAAGCCCCTCAAGGTGTAGTATTATCACACCATCTTTGAAAGATGCCTGTATTCTCTCGCTGTTGAACTTGTTGGTTCGACGAAATCGACGTGACATCCAACAAAGTTTCACGATTTAGCTCACCCGTCTAGGATCCATCAGTCACAATGCAATTTCCGGCATGCAGCGGCCGTTGGTCCAATGCGGGGTGAAGACTCCATGTCGGCGAGAACGGCTGGCGGCCAAGACGATCGATTTCACCAACCGAGATATGCATACTTAGTTGAGAAAGTCAAGTACGTAGGCTATGCAGACGTAGTGTTCAACCTTCGGGAATTGATGTTGTGCTACTTTGCGGGCATTTGACAACTCGATTTAAAATCTCCCGTGATTCTGCAGACTCGCCGTAGACGTGCGTTTCATTGCCAATTGCTTTACCACACCAGAAGCACTGCCGCATTCCAAAAGATCACGTGTTGGTGAGAACTCTCTGAACTATCCACGCTTTCTCGGTCGACATGCGTTCTAGCACGATGCGTGCAGGTGCAAGTCTCGTCGCTACGTTTGTGGTGCAGGGCGTGGCTGGGTTGAGCTGTTGCAACCATACCATCTCTCGGGATGTTATTGTCGTCGGTGGTGGTGCTGCTGGCTCTCACGCTGCTGTTTGGTTGAGAGACCATGGACAGAGTGTCGTCGTTGTAGAAAAGGCTAGTCAACTTGTAAGTTACGCCCTCTCTTCCGTCACCCTCCCTTCTTTAGATGCCTCTCCTTGAAGCAACTACGTATCGTAACTAACATTATCTTCAAGGGTGGCCATACGGCATTCTACTACGACTCGGCTTCGAATAAGTCCATCAACGTCGGTGTCCAGGCATGGATGGAGTACAAAGACACCTTTGACTTCCCGAAGCGCATGAATGTCTCAACCAGTGGGTCGATGCAGTTTACCACACTTGATTACAAGTACGTCGACTTCAAGACGGGCTCGCCGGTGACAGGCTGGAATGCGCCTTCTTCAGACGCCATGTATCCCGCGCTTCAGAGGTACCTCGACGTTCTTGAGAAATACGAGGACATCATTCTCCCAGGCTTCGAGAACTTCCCTGATGCGGACGCCATTCCGGAGGACCTGGTCATGCCCTTCCGCCAGTTCGTCGAAAAGTACGACATCGCCGCCGCCGTACCCCAGATCTGGGACTCCACGGCACAGGGCCTTGGTGATACCATGGACGTGCCGGCCTTGTTCGTGATGCAGGCTTCCGGCGTCCCCATGGTGCGAGCTTTACTGGGAACCGCCGCTGCCGCGGTCCCTGCCTCGGGACGCCTCTACGAATTGTACGAGAGCGTGGCCAAGTTCCTCGGCGATGATGTTATCTACTCCAGCACTGTCGTCTCTACGGCTCAACGCACTGACGAGGGTGTCTCCGTGAAGGTTGCCGGCGCTGATGGCACCTTGACTTGCATCGACGCAAAGCGCCTGCTCATCGCTTTCGAGCCGACCCCCGAAAGTCTCGCTCCTTTCCGTCCAGACGAGACCGAGAAAGAAGTATTTGACAAGATCGAGTTCACCACCGTCTACGCTGGCATCCTACGTCACCCGTCGTTGCAAATCAGCACCGCCTACTCCAACAGGTCGCCCGCTCCCGGTTCGACCAACTACACCGTCTTCCCTACCCCCTCTCAGGTGGGTCGCATCGACTACATTGGCGGTACCAAAGACTTGTTCCAGTTCACGGCTGTCGGCACGGATGAGGATACCTCAGAGAGCATGAAGGCCGTCATTGCTGAGTCCATTGGCAACTTAATTGAGGCCGGAACAGTCCCTGCTTCAAACGGCACAGTCAGCTTTGTTGCCTTTGCGAACCATGGGAAGATGCATCCTCGCGTTACCGGCGGGGATCTTCGTACAGGATTCATTCAGAAGCAGACAGCTCTTCAAGGCCGCCGCTCCACATGGTACACGGGAGCAGCCTTCTCTGCAGGCTTCTCGACTGTGGTGTGGGAGTACAACAATGTCATCTTGCCCAAGTTGATTGAGGGGCTGTGAATGACTCGTTTGAGGATTTAATGTGTATATTTGATATTCAATAACGGTCTTCAGAGGAAGATGGCCAAAATAGAATGCATAAAGTCTAGACTATAGAAGCACCAGGACTTGACTCCGTCTGACTTGGCTCATACTGGAAACTCAACGAGTTGTCGTGTGTGCTGCTGAGACCATCATGCACTTATGGGCACCCGCCCAGAGGCTTGGTGGGGTCCCACTGGCAGCCCTGGCGCGCTTCCAGACCAGCTGCTGCTTCGGTGCGTGCTTCTTGAGCGAGGGGGGCCGCGATGGCCATCGACGCTATTGCGCACCAAAACGTTAGTTTGCAGCGAACTTCCGCGGTTGAAATCGTCAACTAACTTACCGAAAATCGCAAAGACTTGGATGAACTTCATAGTTGAGATGATACCGTGATTGGCCCTTTGTTGGTCTGGGGTTCTTTTGTGTTTCCGAGTGATGATGAGAAGGATCAAGTTAGCAAGCAAGAGTCGGCCGCCGTCTTTATATACACCTTAAGAACAGTTCTCGTTGTCTTTCAACTGCTTTTCCCTCAACTCTGCGCTCTACGATGTTCCCGCGCGGATGCGTCTTTCGGCGCTGTACCTGGATAAGCCCCGCTCTAGAGAAAGGAAATATCTGGTTCGCTCAAAAACTTCATTCTGTTTGAATCGGCGTCCAGTCGGGTTCAAACGAGCGACGATCGCCCCATCTGATAAGCCGTAAATTTAGACTTTGACGTAATCTAATCCATCAGTTTGATTGATTAGATGCTACATTTGACAGCCAGGATGGAAGTAAGTATGCACGTGGGTCAGCATAGTCATGACCATGCTCCTCAGAGCAGGCGCTTCAGGGGTAATTATCTCGTTCTATCCATAGTTTTGAGGAGACGAGAAGCTATCGTGACTAAGAGGTAGTCTCGATTATTTGATTTCCAGCTTCACCCCTCGTTTGAGGCTTTGGTCTCCCGCCCCCGCCGTTTGTGTTTCTGCCGGGCATCACACCGGCTCTTTTGGGTTGTATCAAGTGTGCTCGGCGAAGAAATTACACCAATAGCGATTCCTCTCACTTTTGAATTACATATACCGGCACGGCGCAATCGGCATTGTGCACCGGACGCCCACCGGGCATACCCCCACCGGACTTGGCATTCTTTATCCGGATGCGACAAGCGATGATGGCACCCGGGAAAATAACGTCGATGGGCGCCTATTGAGCTGCCTACTAGTTTTCTATGTGCAAGATTCTTTCCGTGAATGTAGTTGAGATGCTGTTTTGCTAGTAGTCTGAGATATTATGGTGATACCCGCGAAGCCAGTGCGTTATAGGATGAGGTCTGCCATATAAACCCCCCTTTGACCGCTCGAACATTCCTTCTTTCACTCGTTCTTCATCAAAGGATTTTCGAAGGCCATCTTCCAAGTACATTTCTTGCGCCGAAGTTACAGAAACCATGGCTCGAAATGCTTTGATTGTCCTATTGGGCCTGACACTGCCAGCCCTGGGCGCAGTCCTGAGCGCTCCAGAACCGGTATCCCATTCTGTCATCCAGAAGCGTGATCTCTCTGGGTCATCCTATGTCTGGCTCAACGACAACACCGGTACTCCGCAACATATGGCTTCTGGTGTCTTACTCGGAATTCCAAACAACCCCGACCAGATCCCTGACCATTGGCTATCTGACATCAAGTTCTGGAACATGAGATCTGGTGGTTCGCAGTTGGCTGAGCCCCGCCGTGGATGGACTCGAGGACTAAACGAGTTCATGGCAAGTACCAAATTAAGCTATGAAACCCCCTTACCTGGGCTTACAATGACGCAAGGGGCGCTACGAGTACCTTAAGTCTGCATACCAGGTCACACGCCGCCACGGGGGAAATTTCCAAATCATGATCCATGATATGTGGGGGACCGATTCGTATCCGAATTTCGCCGAGACGCCGATGCCGGGTGACGGAGGAAGCTACGCAGAGTTTGACAACTTCCTTGATACATTTTTTGCGCTGCTGAAACAAGATGGCATGATCGACAACATTTGGTGGGACCTCTGGAACGAAATTGACAACGTCGACTTCCTCGGCCGAGGAATAGACAGATGGCTGGAGTACTGGGGTCATGCATACCACAAGATCATGTAAGTTGATCACCCAACCCCGGGCCGAGAGCTCTTCTAGCTCACCATTCTACAGGAGGGATTTCCCTAATGCAAAAGTCATTGGGCCGTCCTACGGTCATCTGCCCAACTTTTCGCAAGGCGTCGAACACTATTTCTCACGCTGGGCTGAGTTCATAAAGTCCAACAACTCCATCCCCGACCAGATCAGTCTTCATTTCCTTTACGGGAACGGGGACTTAACTACCTCGCTCAATAGTTACCGTCAGTATCTCAATGCTGCTGGCGTCGACTTTCAGGGTATCTGGAACGTCCAGGAGTACGGCCACCCGGATCAGCAAGTTCCGTCCGGTCTCATATGGAACATTGGCCAGCTGGAGCGACACAACGTGCCAGGTCTCCGGGCCAATTGGCTAGGCGGTCAGGAACTCAACGACTATCTGGCATATCTTCTCGGGAAGGACAAGACCGGTGCCAATTATGACATGTATGACACTAGTTATCGGCCTGCTCGGGAGTATCCGGTGTACGTCTACTATGCCCAGAGCATGACGGGGTATCGTGTACGCACCGAGATGTCCGAGGACACGCTTGTGGATACGTACGCTACCGTCGATCCCAATCAGCGAGTCGTGCGTATCTTGGCTGGATGTCGTCCGAACACTGGCGTTTGGTTTGTCAAGATTGGCGGACTGAGCGCCCTTGGTCTTCCTGAGTCCGGATCACTTCTTATCAAAGCGATCCGGTTCAACACAGCCCCGGGTCGGTTTGATCGTGTCGCCGAACCTGATGATCTCGGCTACAGCAACTACAACTATGGAGATGGCATCGTTACCGTTGCCGTCTATCAGAATGACCCAGACGTCGGCTTCGCTTTCGAGTTCTCGTACTGAGGTCCTTATGGCAAGAAAAGGCACAACACAACCGTTCATGATGGTCCAAGATACTTAACATATTACATATTTTACATTCTCTGCAGGTTCACTTGTTTTCCTGCTGTAGGAGGAGCCATAGCTCTCTACTTTCTAAATCATAATCTATCAAACTCCTTTCTCCCTGTCATAAGTCATATCTTATTTCTATGGGCTGTTCTCCATTCGAAAGCTTTCCTTGTAACTTGGTGACCGCTCGGCATCCATGTCGTTGATGTTGCTGGTGCTGCTCGAGCGCTTCTCGTCTTCAACACCTGCAGAGTAGTGACCCGGTGCACTGGATCCGTTGGGAATGTGGAACCTCCTATCGAAACGGCTGAGTGCGTAGGTAAAGACAACGATCAACTCGATAACATAGTTGAAGACGTAATAGCACGCCTTGTGGTGGTACCATGCTGGGTTCGACGCGAGCCGGGGCGTAGTGTAGCTCACGCCGATGCGGAAGCCGGCACCCATTGCTAGCAGGGTGGAGGTGAAGAGAACCAGGATGATCTTTGTCCTGAGCGAACCCTTGCCAAAGGGCTCTGGGACGGATTTGCTGGGGATGAGTACGGTCGCGATGACAATCGGAATCGGCAAGAAGGCCAATGTAGCAAGAGATGTTCCGGAAAACAACTGGATGATGCGCGCGGTGTTCAAGGTCGATGGGTTGCGGGTGTAAAAAGAAATGATGGTGATCGTAATGGTCATGATAAGACAAATGATGACGTAGGCATAAAGAGCCTTGAAGGCGATCGAAGGGATGCGACCCCATCCGAAGGTGGGATGTATCGACCTGACCAAACGCTGCGCGAAAATGAGGTTGACAATGAAGAGGATGATGACACCCGCGGCCGCGAAGATATTGGCGGCGATTGTCAAACTAGCATTGTCGTGGCGGGTAGACCAGACAATGCGTAGGACCAGCGCCATATTGCGGGCCATGCAGAAACCGGCGAGAAGTACCGAAGGCAGGAACTTGTGCCCGCGAGCTTTATTCCGCCGAAAGATGGTGATATTAAGGACGAATCCGCTGAGGAAGAAAACGATCAAAACGGCGCAGATTGGCACGTCGACATTCACGGTCGGCGTCAAGCCCAGAAGAGCTGTAACTGGTGCATAAGGAGGTCCTTTCGGCGTCTATGCGGTGTCAGCGGTGACAACATGACGGTAATACAGGGTAACTTACCTGCTGGCCACTCGTGGCCGGTGTTGAAGTTGACATGGCTTGGCAGAATTGGATGGCAAAGGAATTGAGTTTGGTTCTTGGCAGGGGTCGCAAAGTTGAATTAGAGTTCGTTCGATGTTGCGAATGCGTGAAAAGATTTCGAATGCTGGGGGTTGTAAGTGATAAGACCTCCAGTCAAGCCAGAGCTTCAATGGGTTGAATGCTTTCAAGTTGACGTGTATGATTTCAGGCCCAGGAGTGAAGACACAGTCGTAAGAATTGCACCCCCATCATCTTGATATCTGCTCTCCCAGCTTCTATATGAACCGACTGCTTTGATATCTCCCACCGTCCTGCAACCGGCCATCGGAGGTTGGTAGAAGGGCCGTGCCGACATTGACGTGGTTGCTGGCATGCGTCTAATGAGCTTGTCGGCATCTGTGCCTCCGTAGCGCCGCTCAGTCCATACAATCCTTGGGGAAAATGTGGATTTTACTACTAAATAAGCGCCACGTCTGTTCAGCCCGGGCCTCGTTGCCATCCGTTGTCCGATGTCATGTGCATATACATTCCATACTATGTCTGGACGTCAAGGGTCTAAGACCAATTACAGCTAGACAATCGGTCTCCGACTTGTCCAGGCCATCAACATTTGACAGCTAAAAGCCCTTTCCATACGTTCATCACAGCCACCAGACTCTAGGGTGCTGTCACACACCCCAGCCACTTGCTTACTTCGGGGAGTGTAGACGCCGTCTTTCTCGGACAGCCACCACAAACCCCGCCGCGATCTTCGTTGCTGGAGCTTGATTCTTAGCACAGCGAAATGTTATTGGAAAACCTGACAAACAAAGATCTCGCTTGGTAATGACTATCAATTTCCAAGGAGAAGAAGGCAACCAAGGGTCTGGAGAGTTTTAGACATGTTCGTCTTTGGATCCGTATGCTCTATCCAAGACTTTAAGCTAGATGCGCTCTGGATAAGCTAGGCCATGCATCGTGAACTCTAAATGACATCCCTCATTTAGTGGCAGCAAGTAACCACGCACTGGAAGTCGGCCTACAAGGTGAAGAGTGAGTTAGCTTGAATTGCTATGCCATTTAGGACTCTGTTCGTGATGGGGTTTGCTTACTCCTGAAGGTCCACGGGTGATGTCGCCGGGGGCGCTCTTGTAGGTGGGGTCAATGGCCTGGCAGACTTTGATCTTGGCGGCAGCATCAATGTTGAGGCAGAAGTTGCAGTTGGGGTCGCTGTAGGTGCAGAAGCCCTCGGACTTTGATGACTTATTAGCAAGCCGATCCAGCGGGTCACGCCTCGTAGCCAGTGTCGCGTGGCTTGGAAGCTAGTGTTCGGTGCTTACCTTGCAGCTGAAGCCCTGGGGAACAGCAGCAACAGCCGTGAGAAGGGAAGCGAAAACAGCGGTGAAAGTAGTAGCACGCATTTTGAACGTTGTGGTTGCGACGGCAAATGAATGTTTGAAGAGGAGAGCGGAGGTTGCTGAACGAGAGACTTGGTGTGGATGGGCTTTTGATAATGAGAGCACAGTTGAAGTACGCGGAAACAACAAAGACTTTATAACATCATGAGACGCCTATTGTCTGGTGATCACAGTAGTATATCGTCGGAACCTATGCACAGATGACAGGTAAAGTGTCCTTGATGATTCGGCTGTCGGCATAAATGAGTTGAGCTCTGAACTCTAATAAACTAGAGTCCATATTCAGTATTGGTCACGAACAGCTAGAATTGTTCTACTGCTGAATGAAGACCTGGAGTTGTAGATCGTCATGGGTAAGTTGACTCGTACATATCCGTACTTCGGCTTCCATTGTTTAGGTTACCATGTTTAAGTTCTGCGATCCTGATAGAGTAGTGGGGGAAGAACGAGTCGTGCTGTTCACAGCGACACAGGCAGTGGCCCCCAACCCATTCGCTGCCCCGCAGATCTCATTTCTGTCGAGCATCAAAACTACATAGATACGAAGTGCTAGTCAGAATGAAGTTGCTTCTGGGCATCCTAGCTACCAAGTTAGATTCTTCGAGATCGTCCATACTTCCCCACGCGCATTCTGCGGGCAACGAGGTGCGGAAATACCTCAGCCAGTCCTTGCAGAAATGTGAGTTATCAAGGACCGTCGGTGGATCATCCTAGCTCAGGTGAATAAGAAGGTACAGCGGCCCAGGATTTACCATCAATGGAAGATATTGCCCTGGCGCTGAACTGAATTCGACGAGGATAACGGCGACCATCAATCCCGTGCTGTTAGGTTACAGCAGCGATATGTGTCGAGTGAAGCCAATATGAGCAGTCTTAGGCTAAGGAACATAAAGTGTATAGATTGATGATACGGTTCGGACGGAACATAAGCATTTGGAGCAATGCGTAACAGAGGTTTGAAGTAGGTAGCTATCCCGATACCGAAACCTGAGTCCATTTTCTGTGAATGAATAATCATGTTTACGCGATACCGAAAGTATTCAGGGAGTAACTCAGTACATGTCTTGCAATATCCATGTCTAATAGCTGAACTGAATCGGCATCATGGCTTGCCACATGTCTCCAGATCTAGAGCACACTAATAAGCATAATGATGAGACTCCCGGGATCACTGGAAAGATCTCTTGCAGAGCCTCTGAGCCTGTGATCCAGTGTCATTGTGACCCTAAGAAGTCAATTAGCAGCACTCTACGAGGAATGCCCTTGAAGTCTCGGGGATCCCCGACTCAGAATCAGGGTAGACGAAGCCTTAAGTGGGTATTACTGAACTATCAAAGGCTCGCTCCAGAGAGCGAACCTCTCTTACTAGAAACTCGCTACAATCTGCTCTCAGTAGCTGATAATCTTCTCTGCAATGTCTGAACTCCTTAGGTCTTTCCAGTTTGATGAATGGTAGAGGAGCCGTCCTGTTGCGCTCGCTTCTTTGCATAATGGCGTAGCAGTCAGGAGGTCGTTGAGTCATGGAATTCGATCAGACGAACTTGAAGTTTGGGACAGCAAGGGTGCAATGCGAGGACCTGACACGGCCCCCTCATGTTTGGGCCCCTTATCGGACTCTAAAGGTAGCAGCCGTGAGTATCAAAAATTCAAGAAGGCCTTCGGGTATACAAACGAGCCAATGGATAAAGTGTATTCGATGCAGCTCAAGACTAAATGCAGGTACCCGAGTGCAAAGGTGGTTCCGGGCTGCGGCGCCATGCAAAACTTTTTCCCAACGTCCTTCTCATCATCACAAGAAATGACATCGTGAAGAGAGCAAAAAGGGAAAGTAAGGGAATAAGGAAATGTTATGGCTTCGTAATTTCATTCCTTTGTGACTTAACGGAATAATCCCTCCTCGAAAATTCAGCGTAAGTTTGAGCGTTCAGGCGCAAACCATACATGAATCGACTGCATACCACACGGGGTTCATCCTCGCGGGCGAGTTGAACCGTCATATTTACCACCGACGTATGTGCTGGAAGCATCCCAAAACACACCCCCCCCCCCCCCCCCCCCCCCCCCCCCCCCCGCACCTCTAGAACGAAAACCAAATATGATACACTCCCCCGCCGCGAGCCACACGACACACCCCCGGGGTGTCCTCCCCCGGGGCGGGTTGACCCGTCAATTTTCCCCCCCCCGATTGGTCGGGAACCCCCCCAAACACCCCCCCCCCCCCCCCCCCCATTCTCCTGCATCGAAGTAAGGGTTAAAATCACATGAATTTATCGCATCCCGCGGGCCAGATATAGGGCTAACTTTGTAAAGTAGGACTCTTCTGGTCCTGTATTATCTAACTGTTGTGGGAAGAACTACATACACACTACTGTAACAAATGGGGGGATATCTCTTCTAAAACAGGCCAGCCATCGCGACGAGAGCAAATCCAAACAGACCAGTGCCAACAGTTGCGCCTGTCAACAGCTTTCCAGCGGCAGCGCTGGCGCCGGTGGAGGCAGTAGCGCTGGCGGACGAGCCAGACTGGGTGGCCGAGGGAGCAACCGTCGGACGGATCGTGGTTCCTGTCGTGGTGGAGTTTCTCAGCGGGGCGCCCGAGGACACGGGGAAACCAGAGGAAGGCGTCGCTGTCGCGTCGGAGCTCCCGGAGGCGGATTCGGAGGTTGTGTTACCTGAAGTGGTGTCGTTCTGACCGGCGTTGGTGCTGTCGTCGGTGGCGGCGCCGATCTTGATGCTCGAGTAGTCACCAGTCATGTCGCTGTAGGTGTAAGAGCCACCGGGGTTCGCATTGGTGATGGAGACCTTTTGGACGGTCATGGTGAAAGGCGCCTTGGTGTAGTCGGTCTCACCACCGGCCCAGGTGATGGTGCCGGCGTTGTTGTCCGGGTCGCCGCCCGCCCAGATGCCGAGTCTCAGGCGAGCCGGGGTCTGGGGGAAATTCTTGCCGCCAAGGGCATCGGCGTAGTTGAGGGTGCGGACGAGGTTGCTGTTGATGTACCAGGTGACGGCCTCCTTGGTCCAGTCGATGGTGTAGTTGTGGTACTCGGTCTGAGTCGCGGCGATGGTGTGGAACGCGCCACGGTCGTAGCTAGTGGTGTTGCCCTTGCCGAAGTAGTTGGTCTGAACCTCAGCATCCTTGCCGCCGAGCCACTCCCAGTCGACCTCGTCTAAGTCATCGGACTCGATAACTACACTGCTGACGATACCGGTTCCGGGGGCAGCCTTCATGAGGACCTCGGCGCGGCCGAAGAAAAAGTACCACGATGTCTCGATAGTGGGGGCATCACCCTTCTTGTTCAGGGTGAACTCGGCGCCATCAGTGCCGTAGGTGATGTTGCCGGCGGTGACGGTCCAGGCATCGTTGTCGGCGCCCTTGGTGAAGTCGACCTCATAGGTGCTCTTTGTCAGACCTTTGTTGGCGGGGCAAGTTTCTAAGTTATCTCGTGTTAGCAAAACAACTCATCCACCAAAGCATAGAGTACCGTGAGGTGGAGGACATGTCGAAATATCCTCAAATGAACGCGGATCCAAAGTTTAACTTACTCTTAGTAGGGTCGCAATCGGTAAAAGTTTGAGCGAAAGTTGTAGAAGCGAGAAGCGCAACGAGCGACGCTTGACGAACGAAAGACAATGCCATTGTGAGTAATTTTACGGCGAAGGAAGAACCCTCTAAAATTCAATTCAACGATAGTATATTGGAAGGGAAAGAAGTTTTAAAAGAGAAGAGATAGAACGAGAGAAATGGCTGAGGCTTTCAGTGAAGAACCATGGAAACCAAACCCGCCCCCTTATTTCGATGGCGGGTCATCGTCTCCATTAAAGAAGGGCAGAATCGACAGGATACATGGATACCTGGTGTTTGAGCTTTACTAGGAGAACCCATCACGCGAGTTCCAGCTGGACAAGCTGGAGCCAACCACCTCACTTCCACCCCATCTCAAGGAGGCTGACGTACGTTTGAGCATTTGGCAACGGCAAACACCTGCCACTCGGCCTCCCGGCAGTGGAGTTGCCATGGTGGGGTTCATTAGTAGGTGAAATCTATTGAGGGGGACGCGTGTGCATGGGTGGCTGTACCATTTCTTCTTCCCTGACACCTGCAGCTGGTCGCTCGGGGCAGCGCCCACCATCCGATGTACCGTGCCGGGAGGCCGTTCATGCTATTAAAAGCCGTGCGGCTTGTCAAGTTGGGCTGAAGCACCAATGGGACGTCCCGGCCAGGGTTCCTCTTCTCTGTTCGATGTGGGCTAAAATGGTGAGACGGGATGACCAACGGTAGAGTCTCAAACCTAAGTGGCTCATGTCGAAACTTTCCCACACAGTATCTTTCCCATCTGTGCGTTTTAAGGGGGCTGAGACTGGAGAGGAGGGTGTTTCGCTGAATAACCCATGCACTTTGGCACTTTTCCCGATCATCTTGTTGGCGACAACACCACGGGAGGCCCCTCGATCCAAACAGAATCCTTGATGTCCCGCGGAGAATAACAGCCACGGTGGCAACCCGTGCCAACCTAAACATTCAAACCCAGAACTGTGATTGCTGCGGCCTTCTCAGGCTGTGCTCTTCAGACGAAACATGTTTTAAGCTCACTGGATCCCATTTACATCGCAGTCACAGGCCAGAGACCAAGTCTTTGCGTACCTGCATCCGGATCCGCACGCCAGTAGTGCAACCAAGTCCGCCGTCGCCTGCGAAGTCGCGTTGCCGCGTTCCCTCGAGGCAGGGCTGCGGACGGACAGGGGAGTATGCGGCCCTTGGCACTATCGCGGCGCTAAGTCGGCCAAGCAAATGACATCTGCAGGGTCATTTCGGAGCCCGATCGCCCACAGTCCGTGAACGGTGAGCGTCGTATCCCGCCGGGAAGCCGCCGGGGATTTTGTGAGCTCGGCAGATCTACGTTCGGGGGAGGCAGAAGCACTGCCCTGGATGACGTTGAAAATCAAGGGGTTGGCGCAGCATATATCATGATCGCATTCGGTGCGCGCGGATGGCTTTTTGATAT